CACACACACACACACACACACACACACACACACACACACATGCCAGTCTCCACCCTTTTCCCTATGTGTACCCGACAAATTCAGGGCTAACAGGAGCCTTCCCTGGGCCCTCACTCAGATCTGAAAGATCCTCCCAGCCTGTTTATGCTGCTTCATGCTCGGCCTTCAGGCTGCACTGCTTAGAAAGCCTGCCCCTCGTGAAGCACCATACACCATCTTGCTTATTTTCTCCTACAACCACCGCCTCGGCTTGTGCGTCTCTCCTGCAAGGCTGCGCACGTCATTAAGACAGCATCTTGTCTCTTCTGCTCACCACTGAACCTCCAGCACACAGTGCAGTATCTGGCATTTACCACTCAGTGAACATTTATTAGTTCAATAACCCAAAACCTAAAATCTCAGTGTGCTTTCACTTCTGAGCTAAAATCAATGCCGATTATACAGAATAAATCAGTAGCTTGTTGCTAGGGGCCTTCCTATGTTTTACAAAAGGACTCAAGACAGGTTTCAAAAATAATTGTTTCCCTTTCAAAGATTTCTTTTGTAGCTTAAATGTTGCTCAGGGACACGGCAACAGTATCACCTGAGGTGAAGAACATCTTACTTACACATACAGTATTTAATTTACAGCAAGTGCTAATGACAGCACTATGTCTTCTAAATCGCGGGCACCTCTAATTAAAGCTTTCCTTGTCTCATTTCATTGAAATCAGCCATAAAACGGCAAGGCAGATCAATACACAGCAGTGGTCTTTCTTGTAAGCCCGGCCTCGCGTCATAAATCATGTTGGGGCTTCAGTCGGCTGTGGTTAGTGGCTGTGAGTCTACATCAATCTGATGAAGGAGGCAGGGGGGAGGGAGAGGAGCTCGCGTACCTGTTCTGGATGGGCTGAGGGCTCAGATATGAAAAAGAAAAATGGATGTCCTCGGCCTTCCATCTGTGTGTGTAGGAGGGCTGGAATGAAGCATTTAGAGGAGACAGAATTAGCACCCACAGGAATATTCACTACTACAGGGGTAATGGGGTGTGGAGGTAATTTCCAACCCACATTTCTCAAGGGGTGGTATATCTGTTACAGAAATGGGAACTATGGAAATTAGCAAGAATT